CCAAGTCAATGCAGCAGCAACAGCAACAGCAGCAGCAAAAGAGGCCCACCCTTGCACCAAAGCCGCCGGCCAAGTTGTCGCTCTCTTCGGCATCGGCGTACAACCTCAAAATTCCCTACTCCATCAACGAAGAGGAGGCTACGACAACTTCTAACAACAGCAAAAACAACAACAGCAACCATAGCCAACCGAACGGAGTCAACAAAGCCAATGGACAGCAACAACAACAACAGCAACCACTGCCGTCGGCCCAGCAGCAGTACAGTCGCAGCCGCTCAATGGGCTCAATACTGTACACCAATGAAAACTACGGCCAGGCGATGGGTGCTTCAAACGGTAGTGAGCACAGTTGGACTTCTAAATCTCCCAGTGCACCTCGAACATGGACAGAGAAACCTTCTAACGGCACTGGCGTGAGCACTCCACTGCGCACCGTCATCGCCAACAGCGTCAACCGCCAGGCCGATTCACTGGAGCACTTTGCCGCCCGGGACAGCGCCCAGCTGTTTGCCACCGAGAACACGCCCGCCTTCTTCTCGCACGCCACCAGTCTCAGTTCACTGTCAATGGAGGACGAGAATGAGGGCTGCTTTGCCGGGATAGGGCAGCAGCAGCAGCAACAACAACAGCAACAACAACAACCGAAGGCAGCTGCTGTGGCTCAAGAAGATATCCAAGGTGGTGACAACAGTGATGCTGCTGCTTACCAGAACTACGCCCCTGCTAATCTGGGCAACTCGGTGCCTTCATCGCCTGCTCAGCGCTCAAAATCGCCGGAAAGCACTTCACAGGAGAAGCCAACTCCCGTGGCTGCCAAGCGAATGTCCAAATCACAGACACAAATTGCTCAAAACTTCTCTGAACAGTCTGCCTCACCGGCGGTTCAATTTTACAATGATCAGCAGCAGCCACAGCAGCGCTCACCCTCACCACCGCCTCGTCCAAAGAAGCCCCTGCCGGCGATTCCTCGCGGCGAGTCACCACCGCGAATGCTAGCACCACTGCCGCCAACTCCCACCAGTCCCACTACTCCAACGACCAGTAAAGAGGACGACTACGATGACTTCATTTACAAATGTCGACAGGTCGCTCTGCCTAAAGAGACTATGGTGAAGCCTAAAGTGCAGCAGCAGCCTTCATCAGACCACGCCAAATCTTCACCTGGCAATGTGAAACTCCCAAACCCAACTCCTTCAAGCCAACCGCCATCATATCAAAGCAGCTCAAACCAGTCTCCAACTACTAATACTCCAAACAAACTTAAAAGC